TTTGTGAGTTGCCATCTCACTCTGTCACCCAGGCTGGAGTACGGTGGCTCGATCTTGGCTCACTGCAATCTCTGCCTCTGGGGTTCCAGTGATTCTCCAGCCTCAGCCTCCCCAGAAGCTGGGATTATAGGCACACACCACCATGGTCGGCTAAGTTTTTGTATTTTTAATAGAGACAGGGATTTGCCATGTTGCCCAGGTTGGTCTCGAACTCCTGACATCAGGCAGTCTGCCTGCCTCGGCCTCCCAAAGTCCTGGGATTACAGGCATGAGCCACCATGCCTGGCTTTCACAGGGTTTTAAATTTTTAGCTGGATACCTACATATGTTCAGAGCATTCTGCCATAAGTACTCTGTCCTGTTCTGTTCTTTGAATTGTATACCAAGAGCAAATAAAATAGAAGGTTCCAGCATATACCAGGCATCCTCTCCAATTTTCTTATTTTAGCCAATAATGACATACCAGTTGAAGAAATCCATTCTCCATTTACAACAATACTTTTGAGAACATTTTTGAACTATCTCCTGCATTTGGCATACCACATTTATCATGAAGAATTCCAGTAAGTACTATTTATGGCTCCTTGTTGGGGGACAGGACACAGCCAAGCTGTACTATTGTCATAGTGCCATAGTGCCCTCTTTTCTTCAGCAGCCTTTTTTTTTTTTTTTTTGAGGTGGAGTCTTGCTGTGTCACCTAGGCCAGAGTGCAGTGGTGTGATCTCGGCTCACTGCAATCTCCGCCTCCCAGGTTCCAGTGATTCTCCTGCCCCAGCCTCCCGAGTAGCTGGGATTACAGGCACCCACCACCACACCCAGCTAATTTTTTGTATTTTCAATAGAGATGGAATTTCATCATGCTGCCCAGGCTGGTCTTGAACTCCTGACCTGAAGTGATCTGCCTGCCTTGGTCTCCCAAAGTGCTGGGGTTACAGGCGTGAGCCACAACACCCAGCCTTCCCTTTATATACTCTATACCTTAGAAGGAAATTATTAAGTCTAGCCCATGCTCAAGGAGAAGGGAATTCCCTCTTTTCGAGGAGAAGTAATTATGATATCTTTTGATCATTATCACAGAAAGAGAAACCCATCGCTCTTCTTGTGTTTTACAAAACTGATGACTGAGAACATTCGTCCAAATGCCTGCCAAGTAAAAGGTGAATACAAAACCAATAGGATTATATTTACTGCCATTTTTTTTCTCAAAATAGAAATCTGGGCTGGGCACGGTGGCTCACTCCTGCATTCCCAGCATTGTGGGAGGCTGAGGTGGGTGGATCACCTGAGGTCAGGAGTTCAAGACCAGCCTGGCCAGCATGGCGAAACCCCATCTCTACTAAAAATACAAAATATTAGCCAGGTGTGGTGGCGCATGCCTGTAATCCCAGGTACTCAGCGAGGCTGAGGCAGAAGAATCGCTTGAACCCGGCAGGTGAAGGCTGCAGTGAGCCGAGATTGTGCCACTGCACTGTAGCCTGGGCAACAGCGAAACTCTGTCTTGGAAAAAGTCAAAGACAATAGAATTCTATTTACCGCCTTTTCTTTTCTCCAAACACAAATCTGTAACCATTTTTCGAATATCGTATTTTTAGGCAATTTATTCTGTGAGCAGCAGCGGACACTCTATTCTATGAGTTACATCAGTAAGTGCTGGGAGATTTATCTAGCTTACTGCAGGCCCCGCGCAGCACCTCCCCACGAGCTTACCATGAAGACGAGACACTTCCTCTGGATGCTGAAGGTAACCACCTAAGTTTGATATTGACTTTCTACTTACAGGCACTTTGATTTTAATGAAAGAAAGGCACGATATTCTAGCTATGATATGCAAACAATCAGTTGAAGATCTGGGTGCATTTTCATGACCATTGAATGTTTACTGATTCTCTTGGCAGAAGAGTGGTCTATGGTTGTGGAAGGAACAGAAACAGCCGTCATTTGCCGGATATGCTTGAAGATTGGGGCAAGACAATGGCCCGTGGCCCTCAATATCTTTTTTTGAGCTGGAGTTTTGCTCTTGTCATCCAGGCTAGAGTGCAGTGGCACGATCTCAGCTCACTGCAACCTCCGCCTCCCAGGTTCAAGTGATTCTCCTACTTCAGCCTCCCGAGTCCTTCCTTCCTTTTTTTAAAGGCAGGAAGATCACTTGAGGCAGGTGGATCACCTGAGGTCAGGGGTTCGAGACCAGCCTGGTGAACACTGTGAAACCTGTCTCTACTAAAAATACAAAAAAATTAGCCAGGCCTGGTGGCAGGATCCTGTAATCCCAGCTACTCAGGAGGCTGAGGCAGGAGAATTGCTTGAACCCGGGAGGCAGAGGTTGCAATGAGCTGAGATCGTGCCACTGCACTCCAGCCTGGGTGACAAGAGCAAAACTGTATCTAAAAGGAAGGAAGTGAGGAGGATGAATTATCTTTAAAAATACAGTTTATCAAAAAAGACTTTTTTTTTTTTTTTTTTTTTTTTTTTTTTTTTTTTTTTTTTTTTTTTTTTTTTTTTTTTTTTTTTTTTTTTTT